GGACTCAGTACCTTGGTCTGGTGGTCTGGTGTCTTTGTAGTGTGGAACCAGGTGGCTGCCTGTCTGCAGTGGTGCAGCAGGGTGATTCGGTGTCTTCCGCGTGACTCAGGACTCAGGACCTCGGTAGGGCGTGCAGACCTGCCTGTCTGCAGCGGGCTGATTCCGAGGAGGATATTCTTAATCAGAAATAGCTTACAAGTGGATTTTATCCACATATCTTAGGGGATATAATTCTGTTAACAAGTTCAAATTCCTGCTGGAGATTTGTTGCATAAATAATGTTGGTCCTTCCCATCTATTTTGCAACAACTTCTTTTTGTTTGTTTGTTTGCTTTATTAAGACAGAGCCTCACTATTTCAGGCTGGCCTAGAACTGGCCCTTTAGGCCAGGCGGGCTATGTACCCCAGGAGGCGACCCTCCTGCCTCAGTCTCCCAAGTCCTGGGAGTTACAGGCATGCACCGCCACACCAGGCTAGCAACTTCTTGATGTACACTACTTCATCATATGAAAGGCATAATTTAAATTATAATAATTTATTTCTTTTGCAGCATTGTCAAATATTTATAGCAGAGGAAACAAAGATGATCAGCTCACCAAGACTATCTGACCATCCCTGCCTGCTATTAAAACAAATTGAAATGAATACTTGAATATTTATCTAAGATTTAATTAAAATAAATAGCAGAACGCTTACCTAGTATACGCAAAGCCTTGGATTCGATCCATCGTATTATAAAGAAAAAAAAGAAAATATAGATCTATAGTTTAGAATAGTAGTACATTAGTCTTTGCTTGTTTGAAGATACCATATCTGTCCTTAGTACTTGAATTCAAAAAAACGTTTTAAAAATCTTAATTCATATCAAATATTTATGCATGTATGTTTTCTTACAATCTGTCTTTATCTTGTTAACAGTATACTTGCATGAACCTTGTGTAACATAAAGTAATTTAATATTTGTAGCTCCTGTACGACACAGTGCAGACCATGGGAAAAGACTGTTCGTCATCAAACCTTCTTTATTCTATGACAAGCGCTTTTTGAAATTATTGGTGAGTTACATTTTTTTCATTAACTAAAATTTTGGCTAACAATTAGCATAAAATTTTTTGCCTCCTTAGAAAACATCTTCCATGTTATAAAAGATTTGATTTTGTAAATTTGTATTTCGTTGCTCAGAAGACACTGAGATTATGTGGTACAGTCTGATTTGTTTTTGAATCTCTTTTTAAATTAGTAAGCATTTTCTCTTTCATTGAAATGTTCACATTAACTAGAGGTAAAACTTGAGCCATTTCTTTCTTAAGATTATGGAGATTTGAAATATAATTGTTCCCTGCTTTAAGATAAAAAAATCTACAGGACTGAAGATGTAGCTCAGTGGTCAAGTCCCTGCTTAGCACAAGGCCCTGGGTTTGAGCACCAGCAACACACACACACACTCTGCAACTCGGCAAATTACAAAACTGAAAATTGATTTATATGAGGATGATTAGTTTACATTAGTAAAGTATTCTTTAAATTGCCAAAGAAATTAATAAAGGAGGACTGTTCTTTTGAATGATTTTTATTGATATGTCGTTCGGGAACTTTTATTTCAGAGACTGATGCTAACCTATAGCGCAGTCTTAATTCGTTGATAACGGTATCACTTACTTAGGGCACTGATTGTGTATTTGTATCTCAAGGCTGTATAAGAACAAAGTGGAGGCTTAGAAAACGGAAGATTGTCTGGACACTGCAGCTGTCCCTAAAGCTCTGAATCATCATCTGGATTCTAGCTGTCTTGAGACTGTCTCTTGCCTCCCTTTCACTTCCTGCCCCTCTCCATCTACTTGGTTGAGGTCCCAATTTTCTTATCATGGCCTATTCAAACCCTATTCAGTGGTTTAGATCACCCCAGGGTTTTTACATTTTTTTCCTAACTTGCATGGCATTGCTTTAACTAAAAAGTCATCATTTAAATATATATTGTATTATACTTGTACAATTAAACCTTACTTTTTTCCTTCAGTTTTGGTCTTAAACCTAGAACAAAATAATATCACTGAGCTCAATAATTTGATACCACATCCCCACTTTGGCAAGTTTATTTTTTAAGAAATATAAGGGAATCACATGAGTACTTTGAGGGTGAGGAGAGTTAGGAAATGATCATGAGAAAAACCTTTTTGTTTTTTAATCTTAACAGAGATTCTACCTTTTGTTGACTGGGGTTCCGGTAGTAATTGGCATAACTCTGGTGAACGTATTTATTGGTAAGTCACCCCCACTCCAGCAGTGATGAATTGGTAAATTCTTAAAAACATTAATTTTTAAAAAGAAAATTATGAATATTATAATGAAAAACCTTTTAAATAGTAAATTAAACATAAGCATGGCCATTTATTTAAAAGTAACCAAATTTTAATCTTCAGTAATATATGATGTTATTTTCACTTGATCTTAGTCAAAAGGCCGAGAAGCGATATATGATGTTATTTTCTAACACATTTCTTTTCTTCCCAAAACCTTTAAGGTCACTAATTCTATAGAGGCTGCATAGTAAGCATCCAAAAACCTCATCTTCCTTTTCCTTTTTATTTCCCCAAATCAGCTTTGATAAGTCTGAATAAGGAAAGTAGAAAGAGACACAAGTGGAAGAGAGGCTAAGAGATCGAAGAATTTTAAAAAATCTATCCTGGAACATATAAATCTATAATTCTTTTTTAAATTTATTTATTTATTTATTTATTTATTTATTTATTTATTTATTTGGTACCAGGGATTGAACTCGGGTCCTTGTGCTTGCACAGCAGGCGGCGAAACCACTGAGCTAAATCCCTGGCCCTGTAATTCTTTTTTAGAAAAAGAAAATTGTTAGTAGCAGTAAACATTAGATTTTCATGGGAAATTCTGTTCAGAGTACTTCTAATACCGTAAATTCTAAAATATTTTGTTTAGTAGCTGTAGGAAAGATCAGAAGGAGTAATCTTTCACCTCTGAAGATGTCTAAATATACCTAATGAATGCATTGATTTGCAACCAGACTAAGGTGACTTTAGAAAAGTAGATCTTCATTGGTACAAATAAAAGATCTCTTAAAGCCACAGGAAGTTACTTTTTTGCTTTATTGGTGAAGAATTATTATTATAAGCTCCTAATGCTAAAGTTGAACATCACCATTTTTCTCTTATTAGGTGAAGCTGAATTAGCAGAAATTCCAGAAGGCTATATCCCAGAATATTGGGAGTATTACAAGGTTTGTATAGGTCATTAAAATTTATTTTTATTAGGTATTTAGTTATAATGCTAGTTAATATTTTAATTTGGTAATTATATAGTTTTTATATTCAATTTTTGATACCAAGTAGATGATACATTTTTTTTACTAGCAACTACTTTTGGTACTTTTTTTTTTAAAGCTTTACAGGTTTTTAAAGACTGACTTTGCAGTGTGTTTTCAGCCTAGCAGAGTAACAGAATTTATTCTATGGTCAAGGCCATGGGGAAGAGGTTACCAGTACTAATGCCAGCTGTCTTTTATTGAGCACCTGTGTCGCAGGCACTATGCTAAGTCTTCTACAAATATTATTTTATCTCACATAAAAGGTACTATTATTAAGCACAGGCTTAAAAGGTGTAAAGTGGCCTACCTAAGAGGTGGAGCCAGTATGTATTAGAAACCATCAGTCTGGCTCAAGCCTGGTCTGGTGTATGGTCATTACAGCATACGATCAATGCCACCAAAACCCAAAATTAATCTGTTACTTACCTTCACAAGTATGGTAGTGAGAGACTATACTCCATTGTATTTTATTATGTGAATGAATTATATTTTAGAAAAAAATGCTTCATTATTATTATTATGTTGTTGTTGTTATCGGGGCTCGAACTCGGGTCCTTGTGCTAAATGCTTCATTATTAAATCATAAGATAAAACATAAGATTAGTTTATTTTTGCTCCCTGGTGGAAAGAGCTTCATGTTTGGATCAACAGAATCTTGTTTTGTCTCCTGAGTCTGCCACTTAAGATACCTCAGCATAGGATAATGGGAAAGAAGGCTTTGGAGTCAGACCTGGTTTGAGTCCAGATATTGTTACTTAGTTTGTGCAATTTGCTCATCTCTAAAATGAAGACAAAAATAGTATCTACCTAATGAACTAAAGTTATTTAAAATATATATAAAGTAGGCCTGGCAATTTAGCTCAGTGCTTCCGCTGCCTGCCTCGCAAGCGCATATATATATATATAGAGAGAGAGAGAGAGAGTAGTTGGTGTATAATAAATATTGGTTTAGCTACCTGAGATGGTCATTTTAAAGAGTAATCGCCTAGAAAAGGAAAGCATTGTTCAGAAAGTAATTTTAAACAAATACTCTCTTACAGCATCCTATATCAAGATGGATTGCTCGTACTTTCTGTGAGAACCCCGAAAAGAATTACGAAAGGACAATGGCTATCCTTCACATTGAATCTGAAAAGGCTGACTTATGGTAGGAAAAAGGGGCGGGGAAGAAAATCGTTCTTGAGTTGCAAACCACAAGAAAAAAAAAAGAATAAAACTATTTCTGCACTAAAGAATTCTTTATGTGAAGGGATGAAGATAGACAGAATTTGCCTTCCTAGAGTGAAGACTGTAAGTGGGTAACTATCAGGAGATAATATACATCAGATTAAGAGGAATTCTTTTGTAAATATTTCTGTACTTTCATGTATAAGGCAACCCTCTCACCATACTACCCTGTTTCCTTCCACCCCATCTTCTTAGAAATGACCTCTATTTAACAATTTCTTATATATGTTCTAGAGAACATTTTATATGTTGATGAATATATCTTATAATTTGAAAATTATATTATTATATTTATAAGAGAGAGACTCTTATAAACACTGTTTTGTGCCTTGTCTGTATTTCAGTTAATGTAGTTTGGTGATTATTCTGTAATCTGTACCCCATTCTTTTTAGTGGCTGCATTATGTATTCATTGGGTAGATAGGCCATAGTGTTTTCAGCTAGTTCCCTATTGTTGGTACTTAGGTACTTTCCATGTTTTTTAGTATTATACATAATGCTGTGGTAGGTTTTCTCATACATATATTTTTGCATACTTATGTGTCTATAGAAAGTAAATTCCTATCAGTGGAACTGATAAGCCCAGTGGTATATGCTTTCAAATATTAAGATACTGCCTTACTTTTCAGGAAAGGTGTACCACTTATTTTTTCCATCATATTATTCCATTATTCCAATGATAATTTGTTTGTCAGTAATGGAATATATCAAACTTAAACATTCTTGCTGATATGATAGAAAATATTATCTCTTTATTTTGATGTATTGCTTTATAAGGTTCAGTATTTTTTCATATACTTATTAGTTGTATATATCTCTCAATTGTTCAGTTTTCTACTAATTTGTACATTAAGTTAGTCTTTTTTAAACAATTTTCTTGCCAATATCTTTTTCCAGGTTGTCATTTTATCTTTTGACAATGAAGAATTTTTTGCAAGATAGAAGTATTTTTATGTTTCAGATAACAAATATATATTATAATATGTATTTGAACACTTGCTCTGTATCAGTGTTTTACTGTATATGTGTTTACTCTTGTTTAATTACTGTGAGGTTTGTCAGTCTTTCTCTGGCTTCTGAAATTTTGTGTCGTGCAGAGATCTCTAGTAATTAAGTAAATACTGTACATAATTCTAAAATTATTTTTTAAAATATTACTTTGGATGCTAGAGATAATAGCTCAGTAGTAAAGCACATGCTTAGCATGCATGAGGCCCTCCAATCCACAATGCCACAAAAAAGATAAAAAACTTTTGTGTTATATTTTACTACTTTTAAATGTGATCCAATCTGAAATATATTTTCGTTTTAAGTGTGAGATGTTATTGACATGCGATCAAATGCATCCTTTAAGTTGAATGGATATTTGCCAAAGCATGTACCTGTATATCCACCACCACAGTCAGAGTCATTTTGATCACACAAGTGTTCTTTGTGTGCCTTTTTCCACCCATCCCATTTAATCTCCATCCTCTATACTTGATCCCAAGCTACCATCAAGCTGCTTTTCTGTTCATTCTGTTTTAAACTTGGTTGTTTATAAATACTGTTATAATATTAAAAGATATTTAAATGATGAAAAGAATATGTGATTGGCTGTTTCCTAGATACAGTATGTGGTTACATACACATGTGGTTACCATATAGAACTGATATGTATTTAAAAGCCTAAGAACAATAGTATGGCTCATATTTAGCAATATAAGGCTTTTCTGAACTTCAAACAAACCTTTGAGTTCCAGTTTAGTAACTGGACCTAGAATTCCTCAGAATAGTGATCCTAAACAGATACAAAACAAACTAAAAACAAACCAGCCAAAACCATGACTTCCACCCCTACAGAAAAGACGCCAATGTGAGCACAGAATGAGGAGTGTCTGCGGTTTTGAAAAGTATGTATTTAGACCTTCAGAAAACTGAGACATTAGAGAAATATGTAAAGGGGACTATCTACCATAGTTGACTCCCCCCTGAGAGACTTTAGTCCTTAATATTAAAAAAATTTTTTTTCCAGTGCTGGGGATTAAACCAAAGGCCTTTACACTGAGCTACATCCCCAGTCCTTTTTTTCTTATTTTGAGACAAGGTCTCACTAAATTGCCCTGATTAGGCTTGAACTTGTAGTCCTCCTGCCTCGGCTTCCTAGAGTGCTGGGATTACAGGTGTGTATCACCATGCCTGGCTATATACCTTGCTTTATAACCGAACTGTGTTTATCATCTCCTTCCACATTACTACATTTAGATTCTCCTTAATTCTTTTTAATAGTACATTATGTAGGTGAACCATAGTTTACTTACCTGGTTAATACCCTGATAAATGAATATTTTAATTACTTGAATTTTGGACAGTTACATTCTAAAGAATAGAAAAGAAATACGGTATTTAATCATGAAAAAAGAAAAATAAGCATAAGACTCTTAAATGCACAAATACAAAGATATATAATCTTTCATAGATAGGATTAGTGGGCTGGCTAATGTTAAATTGTTTAGATGTGATACATTTTCAGTCTTATGAAAAATACATGTTCTACAAAAATGAAAAGCAAAGGGTAGATGGAAAAGGGACCACTTCTCCAGGAAAGTATGGTAGTTTGTGCAAACTTTGGATGTGGGAGAGAAAAAGCATCTTTATAAACTAGAAGCTATTTAATTTGTGAAGAAAGAGGACAGCTCAGTAGATTGTAGACTTGGAGGATATTTTTCTTAATCCTGATTCTTCTCTTCCCTTTTTTTTCTTTACAAATACTGTATTGACTAAGGGTCTGCTGTTAACCAGGGACAGTTTAACCAGTTTTCTATTCTCATGATGATGGGCAGCCAATATAGACAGGATGTGAGCTCTTCTAAGAAAGATTATCATTTTCCCAGCACTTCCCCAAGAAATGGCCATCATAGTAGGCATTCTGTAAAACATGCTTGTAGCATCTAAAAGGTGAAAAGACAGGAAAAGCATTGTGACGATTCAGTGAACATGATCTGTCCAGAGTGGAGAAAATTAATCATTTCCAGTGAATTAGTGGCAAAAACTGTTTGGTGGGTAACTACATAAGTAAAGGGATGAAAGTTAAAAGTCAGTTCCAGATTTTGCTTATAGACGTGCAGCACATATGTCCCTACAGCAGGTCTCTGTACATAACAACAAGGGGTTCTCTAGGGCTTATTCTTTATGGCGATGATTATTAAATTTGAAATTGGAAACGCTGGGATCACAGTATTGTTACTCTATTTGTCACAGGTTAAATGAGTTGGAAGTTCGAAGACTAATGCGTGCTAGAGGTGATGGACCCTGGTATCAATATCCAACCAGTGATAAGGCGCTTATTGATCAATCTCCAAAATCAACCCCTGACAAGTAGTCGTTCATTTCTTCAGATATAAAGTGTATTCTCTTAAGTGGAAATAAGTTGATAAATATAGTCTGTACTTTTGCTCTGTGATGAATAAAAGAGCTTCTTTCAATGCTTTGTTTCTGTGTTGGTTCAGATGAAGGTTTTTGATTTTGTGGTTTGGGTTTCATTTTTTAAAAAAGTTTAAAATGCAATAATAAAAGCTAGAGAAATCAGAATTTGTGAATTCCTTAAGTATTGACAGGCTAGTGTTTTATTTGACAAATGGACATTAAAGAAGGGAAGCCTTAACTGCATTAACCCTTCAATGCCTAAGTGTCCCATTTTTGAATGCCTATAACAGTGGAACAAAATAAAAATTTTTCTCTTCAAAGTTTTGTTCCTTGAATTTTTCTAGACAATGCATGAATTTCATGCAAAATTGCAATTGTGTGGCGCCAATCCCCAGCCCGTAAAAGGGTTAAGTATTGGGAAGAATAGTTGTTTGTCACATGTCTATGTTGCAGATACCAGATTATTCAGAAAATATTGAACTACTCATATAAAATGTTAGCACCCCAAATTTTCAGGGAACAAATCTTCAAGTTTATGTTTTCATGCTTTGTTTTTTAGCTATGTATCATTAAAACTATACATGTATACATACATTTTTCTTTAAATTCAGTCTCTAAGATTCCTTAAAGTTTTTTTTGTAAACACTAGAGAAGTAGCTGTACAAAAAGTAAAATGATTACTGCAAAGATTTTGAAATTTGAGCAAAAGCTAAAAATAATGACTGCCATTAAATATTTATCTGCTGAGCACTGTGCCACATAACTGCCTTTTATTCACCATTTCAAAATCACTTTACGAGGCCCTATTACTCTTTGAGTTTTACAGATAAGAGAAACCTACAATACTTTATGCAGGTGCTTAACATTTACAAAAAATAAATATTTGGTCTTTTTGCTTCAGGAATTCATTATTTTTCAACCTATCAGTGAATCAATCAGCCTATCCGTGAATCTAAATTTTAGAAGTATGTTATTAATATTCTTCATGAAAATAAAAATGAACTCAGATCTAAGATTTGAGCCAGTGAATCTCCATATGTATTCTCAAGGCCCAATGGATAAATTCTTTTGCTACCTAAACAGACAGAGTAATTGAAAAGGCACAGGCCACTGGTTCAGGGTACTTAATTGATTGCCAACTCTATTATATGCACTTGACTGTACAGTCAAGATCCTTTGGCGTGCTTGCATTTTCTTATTTCCCCAGAAGAGGGCTGCCATGTCCAGCTATTCCCATTTTTTCTCAGCACACCCTACCCCATAATTCAGCCCAAGGGCGGGGAGAAGAACATACTGCTGCTTAAGCCCCTGCTTATGAAAACCAGTTTTGCAGGAGGGATAAGGAAAACTGCAAGAGTCCTTGTACGTGGTGTTAGTGAGGTGATGCTAGACCTAGAGATGTTAGCGTTCATTATTAGAATTTACAGGTTGGTTGTCGACAGTTGAAAGTTTTACTTTATTTTTCTCTATTATAAATATAAGAAGAACTTAGAATAGAAAAATACAGTTTTAATGAACTAAAAGTGCCATTTATTAAGTTCAGCTTGTAGCAGACTAAGGACTTTGTATATTTCTTTTTTTTTTTTTTTTTGGTACCGGGGATTGAACTCAGGACCTTGCACTTGTGAGGCAGGTGCCGGAACCACTGAGCTAAACTCCCAGCCCTATTTCTTACAGTGATGCTTTAGTGAAGGTATCACTGTCCTTACTTCAATGAAAACAAAGGTTAAAATAAGGAGCCTAAAGTTACATCTAGTAGAAATTATACCGTGTGTGTGTGTGTGTGTGTGTGTGTGTGTGTGAGTGTGAGTGCTGGGTATTAAACTCAGGGCTCTGTACATGCTAGGCAAACACTGCAAATGAGCTAAATCACCAGCCCCAGCCACATTTTAAAGGAATTTAAAATAAGTGAAAGGACAGACTGAGGGCTGCAGATGAAGCTCAGGGGCAGAATACATGCTTAGCATGCTGGAGGCCCTGGGTTCAGTCTCTCCCACAGAACAAAAATCTTCCAAAGGACATACCTCATTTGCCACATCTGTCTTCCTAAGCTCAATGCCCTTCTCTTTTCCCTTGCACATAATTTCTTTAACAATTACCTTTTTTTTGAGACAGGATCTACCTATGCAGTTCAGGCTGGCCTTGGACTGACCACGTAGCCTAGGCTGGCCTCAAACTCGCAATGATCCTTCTGGCTCAGCTTCCTAAGTGCTGGGATTATAGGTGTGCACCACCATGCCCAGCACAATTGTATTTTTTGACATTTATTTTGCTTATAATTCATAGATAAGCCAGACATGGTGGTGCATGCCTGTAATCCCAGCGAGGGGGAAGCTCTGGGAGGCTGAGGCAGGAAAATTGCAAGTTCAAGCCTAGCCTGGGCAACTCAGTGAGACCTTGTCTCAATAAAAATACAGATGGGCTGGGTTGGGAATATAGCTTATCATGAAAGGCCTTGGGGTCTATCCCCAGTAACACACACACACACACACACACACACACACACACACACACACACCCCAATTATAGCTAAATACTGGCATGCCTTGGTTTCTTAGAATAAATTCCTAAAAGAGAAATATTTTCTTGAAGAGTATGTCTTTCGACTTTTTATACTGTTTTGAAGTTGCCCTCCTGGAAGTTTGTACCAATTCACACTCCCATTGGCAGCATAGGAGGGCATCAGTTTGCTGAAGTCCTAAAATCTTAGAGCTTCAAATCTCTTGTCAGCCTGATGATAGGAGTTTGTGGCAGTCTCTTTCAACACTCCCCAAGGATTTGTAAACAGTGTCATTCTCAAGATAATATTTCCCACTCGTCACAGACCTTAAACCTTTGCTCAGCCTTCCGGGTTTTGGCGATTTGACTTTTCATTACAGTACTTGATGTGCTCATTGAATTGCAACAAAAAATGGTAGTGCCAACAAAACAAATTCCTGCAGCTAGCAGCCTTTTGCTCTCTGAAGGTATTTTAAAGTTTGTCTGATTTCTTTAGCACGATGATAATATTTTATATTCTGTGCTTGGGAATTCATATATTTGAGATCTTGTGAATCTGTTTCTGTGAGTTGGTTGTTTCTTCTGTTCTCACTCATGGTGCCTTTTTTTTCCTACATTCTTACTTTGTTCTATGGTGAGCTTTTGGTTTTCCTTGCATTTGCTTTTCCTTGCATATGCTTCTGCTTTGGCCTAATGCTGGAGCATTTTAATAGGAAGTCAGACTCCACAGTCAGGTTCCACTTGTACCCATTGATGAGTGTTGATGCATCATTTGGGTTAAAAGATCCGCAAAGAGATGAGGGCAGCATTGTGACTTCCAGATAGCCAGCAAGAATGTCAAGGATTCTGGGGTTGGAGAAGTTGCCTTTGTCAAACATCTACTGCATAGCCCGAGGGAGAATATGGGGTTTACTCAACATGTTCAGCACTATGGTGTGGCTGTATTCCACTTTGCCTGCAGTTTAATAGGAGCCACCCCTGTCAAGCTTCCAGAGTTGACTCCAGACCTTGGAGCTAAAAGGAGGATGTTTTCCCAGGGCCAACGCCATGTTCTAGGCTGACTGACTTTGCATGGAGCTGTGGCATCAACACAGTCACTGGTACTAGTTTGACAAGAAGCATGTCTCTAATGTCAATGAGTATTTCGAGGGAAACATGAAGTCCACTTTACTCTGACTATGAGGCCACAGTTTGTCCAAAGCTAGTCTGTTTCCCCCTGCCTTTCCATGGCTCTGCATATTGTATTCTTGCCCATTAGGATCAATGCCTTCCCTACGTACTAGAGGAAACTGGATCTCCTGCATTTGCTTAGAGACCACATCTGCTTTCAAGACAAAATATATCGGAGTATTTTCCAAAAGTTGGATGATTTTTAAGAGGGAAGTGGGTTCCAGGCTACTCTTTTTCTCTATCCATCATGTTGGAATCCCAGCATTGACATATGAGATCTAAGGATCTTGTCATGTTCACAAGAATGCCTGGGGAGAGAAAGTGGATTTTTAAGAATTTCCCATTATAGATCTTGTACTTCTGGAACAATATCACTATTATAACTACAGAGAAAGGGGTGAATTAATGTCACTTTTGGGACAAGGGAAGTCTTGACTCAATAGGAAGGGATGAAAAGGAAGAGCCTCACATTCTTGCAGGGAAATGAGAGAGGAGAGAAAAGGTGAAAAAGAAAAAGAGAAGGAGAAGTCAGATATTAATATCATTTTATTTCTATCCATGTGAAGTCAAATGTGTGTGGGGGAACAGGAAGAAGGGGTGGGAAAAAACGAGAGAGGTAGAGGGGTTGAGGCAGTAGAGATGGGATGCTGTCGTAGAAATAGTGATAGATATTGTAGATATTGAAAGCAAGGACTGGCAGGAGTAGCCCCCCTGCCCAGAGAAAGCAGAGAGCCTGTTGTGAAGCCCACCTTTGGCACAGTGCCACATTTGTCCAATGTAGAGTGGGAACAAATAGTATCCCGAGGCAAAGGTGTCAGAAGGGAGTTTTCCAAGAAATAACTGAACAAAAAGCTTAAAAGGGCACACTATGTTCTAGGAAATGGTAGAACAAGAGGCACTAAGACATATCCTCTTTAAATGATTGTATTTTAGGGCCTTAAAATGGAGTAGGGTAGATTTCCAGGCAGAAAAAGCTAATGACTTATAAAGAAGAAAATATTCAAGCTGGCTTCAAGTATTTGTATTCCTATTTTTATGAAATTATTTCTTTTTACTCACTTTTCTATCCATAGATATGCAAAGATATGTGGCGTGAAGGTCATCTGGTGTTAACAAAGGCAATTCTGTGAAAAAGGATTTTGGACAATTTGTAGGCTCAGTCCAGAGTCTCAATATGTTGTTTCTGTTGTTAAGTCCACTATAGTGGACAATTTGAAGAATCATTTCTATTGGTGTGAACTAGCTTCCAATCACAGAAATATTTTGTCCATATTCTTCAAAAGTAGGAAAAAAGTGAGGTACCCTAAAAATACTTTTTAAAAATACTGCTTTTTGTCAGGCAAATAACAGAAAAAGGAAGTTTAGCAGGAAACTTGACCGCCTGTAGCAA